TGGTTTCGGATGAACTAGCTATTGGGCTAGCGAAACTGAGATCCGTGTACGATTCATTTATATTCCTGTTGATAACCCTTCCTTCTGTGTTTCCGAGGTGTTCGTCGAAAAAGTTTACCTCAGTTTCTTTCAAAGCCTCCTCCTGAATATTCGGTCCACAAGGTGTTCCGATATCTTTATTGTTCAACATATTTGGGAGCCTCCGGCGGTCCTTCGTAGGCCTCCTGGTCGTTATCCTTCGCTGGTCTGCGTCTACGTAGGCGGCCTTCGTTTTTTTGGACCGTACGGAGGTGCGCGTTGTTTTTCTGGAATGTTTCTTTTTTATCTGAGTTCGCTTTGGCTGGTCTTTTTCTCTCCTAAGAGACTGGCATTCAACTGTGTCTAGTTCCATGGGCGAACCGTCGTCAGTTTCAGCGTTTGATATGGCTAAAGAAGCCGTGGTTGCATATGTTTTTTTCGGATTCTGGATTGCCGAATTCGTCGGCTTCTTCTCTTCACGTAAGTGGTGAGTAAGCTTCCTGAACTTTTCTGCTTCCATTTTTAGACCTTTTAACTCCCCCTCCATTTTTGCAAACTTATGGATGAGTCCGAAACATGTGGTACAGATTTCATCGTCGTATGTGACATCCCCCAACGTCATTAGAATTTTGCTCGTTTTACGGGCATTGGTCTGACAGCAGAACGTCCAACACTGCAGCCATTAATATCATGCGTAATACAAGATTTATTATTAGTTTTGACGAAGTTGGCGCGAGTTAGTGGCTTAGTGGTAACGACGGTTGTTTGTCCGAGCGATGGACCAGGTTCGAATCCCGCCTTGGGTATACATTTTACACCATGTTTCGTGGGCATTTCTCTGAATAACATTACCGAGTTTACAAGTTTCAAACGTTTTCTTAAAGGTATGAGACGAATTTTCAACCAGATCAAGGATATGAGGTAAACGACTCAGCCTTTCGTAGGTTTTGGGGATTGCTCAGTGCTGTTGCAGAGAGGCGACTGGACGAAGATAGGTTATCCCTCACAAGTCCTGGTGTGGTTGAAAGGAGATAGGTTTTCCGAACGAGACTCCCGTTGAAATTCTGTGAGAATCGAAATATTGCTATGAAGAACCGAACTGTTAATTCCGAGAGGCCGTCAGGGTGTCCAGGACTCAGTAGACTCGGAAAAGTTAAATCCCTCGGAAGTCGAAAATTTCAAACCGAATTCAAAAGACGCGCGATTTCCTTTCTTGGCGGTAAAAATCGAAGTCATATATGAGAAGGGCAGAGTCATTTCGAGAGCAATGGCTGTGATTTGGCCATCTTGTTTATAACAGACCTGCCATTCAATAATATATTTTCTAATGTGTTTCGGAGAGCAATGCTTTTGTTGACGGTATTTAAAAAAAATTGGAGGTGGATATGTAAGCTGTGAATTAATGGCACTTGGAGAATAAGTACCAGTTAGTTTATACCTATTGACGTATGTGGAGTCAGTAGGAAATTGCTGACCATGAGACCTAAATGATGTGGGGACATAGTTTTCAAACATTGGAATGCTAGGGGAGTTAGAACATAGATAGGCTTTTTGGTAGTCAAATTGTGGAGGAAGTGGAGTTGGTGGGGGAGGAAAGGCAGCTATAAGAATAAAGGGTGGGAAACCAGGTCTAGGTTGGAAGTCAAAGGAGATAGGTTGACGTACCTGAGAGCAATTGGCCGTAAGTGGTGGGAAGCCTGAACTAGTTTGGGGCATATATGACTTAGGCCAATTCATGTATGAATTATTTGCTGGATATATAGTAGGGCCTTGATAAGTAACCGGTACGCAGGACAGAGAATTATTCGGGGATCTAATTGGGGCTGCGGGATTTGTAGACGTGCTGGGCTGAGCAGACTTGTTAGATCTAAGAGAAGGCGGCATACCCCTAAATAGAACTGTCCTACCTATTTTGTGGGTCGGAGTCTGATTCAGTTTTCGAGTCTCACCGTTCTGACGCCAAGCCACGAGTGACTTAACTATAGAGCTTGCAGCAGCCAGTTGGACAATAGAAGTTATCGGTCTAGCTGATGTAGACGGATTTTCATGTGTCCCAGCGGGGCTATCAAATGTACATGAATAGGGTCACCGAAGACCCTATCCATTACTCTCAAAACATACATACATAAGTCTGGCCCTCATAATATGCATCTCTACATTTTCATCGACATTCAAAATGGCCGAATACGGTATTGCATGTTAAGGCCATTATTATGCCAGTAAGCTTCTTATGCCCACATTTATGGCAGCCGAATACAGCAAAACCATTGCCATGCATAGGACCCCTTCCTTAGAGGGCGCATCAGACTATTATATCCACAACGTAGTTTAGCATAGTTTAGTATATTTAATGATAATAGGCAATGCCTCTCGGGCCCATATTGAAAACTACACACAATACTGAAGTCCAAGTAAACGCGTTACTCCACTGCTGTCAGCAAAATCTATACCGTATACCATATTATTTTAAAGATATGGTACTATCATCCTCACTTTTCAAGCACAAATCTTAACGTTAAATATTTATTCGCATTAGTAATAGCTATATACAAAGGGCTGGTTTGCTGCAAATGAGATTTCCTGTCCGAGTTAGAGATATGTCTATGAAGATATACGTCCGGATGATGTTTACATGTCTCTGCTGAGTTCACCGTCACCATTTCCCTTGCAAGTCCGTTTCAGGTATCGACAAATCGCTGCAGAATCGCGTTACTACGAACATACCGGTGGGATCGGACTTCACGAAGTTTAAAAGAGTTTTCATGCAGATTTATTGTAGTGGCCAGTACAAGCGAATCATCAAAGTGCAGGGCATGCACCCGATTCCAAACAGTGTCGTAGGTCTATACGAGATCTTCTAGGCTCTGCACGTACTGAAGAGGAAAAAAGTCTAGGGACATCAAGTCCGGACTTATGAGATAAGATCTCAAGTTTCTTCGTGATTTTGGTCGCATTCCTTTGAACCACTACCATCAGACTACACTCTTCTTTCGCATTGTGTGTAACGTCCTGATCCCATGTTCCAGTTGCGAACAAACAAAGGTTCCGTGTAATTTTCATAATAGTTCCTATTATTATCTAAAATATTCTTTACATGGCATAGACAACATCGGTCACTCTATTGACATCCTGACGCATTAGAGAAGAGCTTCAGAAATGACAGAATGGTGATTCCGAGGTCCTTTCAGTTACATTTGACAAGCACCTTCCGAGAGGGAGATATTGATGATCCCCTTTATTTGCTCCCTCTCTCTTCGTTTTAAATTGAAGTATGACTCATTTCTGAATGCCAAATGTCGACAACCATTCATCGGACCATTCACATAGGCTAGTAAATCCTTCCTGAAGATACCATTCATCATTATGGGATTTGATCGCTCGCCACACTTTGATGTCATCTGCAGCAATGACTCGCTTGCAGCCAAGTCTACTTATCCAGTCATTGACAAAGAATTTAAAACTGTAGTTGTCCGAGCGGAGAGCTCTGAGGTACCCCGCGTACAACTGACAATGGCAATCATTTCGTATTGTCACCGCACACAGAATGCGATCGACCGGCCAAGAAGTCTTTTAACCAATTCAATTCAATTCAATTATTTTTATTGAAGACCCGTCGGGGTCCCATCAAAGCAAGTAAAAATAAATTTACATGCGAATTTTAGACGAGGTAGGCAAAATCTGTACAAAGTGCAATACATAGTTTTTGAGATTAGAAGTCCGTTAAGCAAAATGAAAATGAAAAAAACGAGGGGTGAAAAAAAACTCCAAAGCAAAATTTAAAAATGTTTGTAGTAATTTAACAGGAGAAAAAAAACCCTCAGAAAAATAGCATCAGAAAAATACAGGGAGGACTGGCCTGCATGTGGCGGTACAGAATGGAATATAGTCCGACATCAACATGGCCGAAATAAATGTCAGCTATATATGGCATTGTGTAACGGATTTCATAAAATGGTACGTAGGCGGGTCGGTCAGGACTGGCCAGTCTCGTATGTCCCACATATCCCAGAGTATTGGACTTTGGAGAGCGACCGTCAATGCGAAACACTAACAAAGGCCTTTTGGAAGTTGGTGTAAACAACATCGGCTCTTATGTCTTCGTTTAATGTGCGGGCAACGTTCCAACGAATAGAGCATGTTGGTTAAACAAGAATGCTTTCTTCGAGAGCCGTCCAGAGCAATCAAACAAATTTTTATCTTCGAAAAATTTCATAAATCGTTTTTTTATGATCCATTCCACAACTATGCAAAAATCCGTATTGGGAATACCAGCGGATAGTTTGCCCTTGTTCTGGGCCCACTCGTGAATCATTTCAACAGAAATGATTTCGTAATAAAGACCAAGCTGATTCATTCTGTTACAGCTGTCCGCACAGGGTCCCTGGGTTCTCAAGTGCACTAAAAGCGGAAAGCACTTAGACCGGCAAAGGAGTGGTTTTGACGCTACAAATGAGTGCCTTCCAGGGAATGGCGTCGCCCAAACTATAAACTGAGTAGAGTGGAACACCACTTTTAGGAACTCGCCGACTCACATTTCTGATAGACACTCAAAACTGCTGAAGTTTTCCGAAATTCTGTTCAATCCTTTTTATGCGTTTTACAATTCATTTGTTTGGCCCTGTTTTGTTTTGTTAAATCTACGGGGTCACGACAAACTATTGATTTTACCGAATATTCGAAAGTTCTCCTAGTTATCGTGCACTATTGTTTCCTGACTTCGGAGGACCCCAACAATGGCTGATAGACCACGAGTCCCCGATGGATTCCAAGAACTCCTTGAAGAGCTTTCATATGAGGTGCTTAAACAAAGACCTGCCGACTTCATCCAGTTTTCTATTGATTTCTTACAATCCAGGCGAGGCCCGAACGGGACATTTATTACCAAGCGAACGACTAGTGGTTTTGCAAATGATGACCCATTGAGAAATAATAGAGACCTACACTTTAATTCATGTCCTCAAAATAACCATTGCTCGGACGTAATGGCGCATGGACGAATTTTGGGTGCTAACGAAAATGTGGACATAGCCCAACTTCCAAAGGAGCTCGAAATTCAAAAATTTCCCAAGACGGACGAGCAGGCCTCGCGTCTACACAATGCAATACAAAGTACTCAACTGTTTAAGGATCTTAACGAAAGTGAATTGAGCGCTTTGTTTGATGCGATGTTCGAAGTCCAGGTCCACGCTGGTGACAAAATAATCAAGTGTGGAGAGGATGGGGATAAATTCTACGTCGTTGACTCAGGGAAATTCTACGCTGAGATCAATGAGGATGGAGTGATTAAGCGCGTTGCTGAATATGACGGCTCTGGATCTTTCGGTGAACTTGCCTTACTATACAACACGCCAAGATCAGCCACGGTCACGGCCGAGACGTCAGGGACTTTGTGGGCTCTCGACAGGAGCAGTTTCAGAGCCATCATTTTCAATAGCGCCTACTTACGTCGGCAATGTTTTGAGGGCTTACTTGAAAAAGTTGACATTTTGAAATCTCTTTCCCCCTATCAGCGGTCTCAGCTGGCGGACGCCTTCCAAACAAAGACAGTTGGCCCATCAGAAATAATCATCAAGGAAGGCGAACCCGGAAATGAGCTTTTCTTTATCAACAAGGGATCTGTGCAAGTATATCGGGAGGATGGCGACAAAATGGTCGACCTTGCAGAACTAAAGGATGGCGAATACTTTGGTGAAGTTGCTTTGATTAAAAAGCAACCTAGAGCAGCGACGGTGGCGGCAAAGACGCCCGTTGAACTAGCAGTCCTGGATGCTGATAACTTTGAGAGAATTTTAGGCCAGACTAAGGATCAGCTGATGAATCGAATTGACAGCTACAGCCGTTAAAGCATATAAAATTGCTGGAGAGACCGCCTATGCTTGCATGTGCTTAAGCTCACTCGATGAGCTGTGGCTGCGATTCATTTGAATTATTTTACACTCAGAGGAGAGCAGGCCTTTCTCTTTCTCGATTAAACCCGGCATATATGTCAGTTGCCGTGTAAATTCCTTTATTTTAAAATAAAATTTTCAAAATGCTTCATAGGTCAGGCTGTTTGAAGTTTTTTACAATATGAAATTCAAGATCGCCCCGAGTTAACACATGTACTATTGGTGAGAGTTACCAATACCTTTACTCTTCAAAAATCGATGTTCTAAAATTCTCGGGATATAGGTTCTGATATTTGGCGGGCCGATTGACTAGGGCTGTTTGGTTAGTGCATAACTATTGGGATCTGGGACAAACATCAGTGTGTTTGCATTCGCCATACAGAGTAAACCGCGGAGAAGTAGGACGCACGTTAGGTGGGTCTCACACCATTACGTTATTTCACGAACTACTGAGCCACTTGTGAGATTATACCAGTATCTCTAGTCGCTTAGCCAAGCAGTGATTCCTATTTTACCTGCCGCTGTTAACGCCGAAACCTGTTAACTTGCGGAATGTGCTACCTCCGAATCGATCTCCACATGCCTCCATAATCTCTGGAAAAAAAACTGTCCAAAGTGGCCAGCATATTAACAGACAGGGCGAAAATTTTCCTGCATGGCAGTCCACAACTATTACCAGCACTATCGATAGGACCCGTCTAATAACACACGAAAAAGGCAGCTTATCACGAACGTCTCAAGATGAAACACAGGATACTGGCCAAACCCAAGTGTCTGGCATTCTGTCTTCAAGTAGGCGGGATCCCCTCCAATATCGGAAATTGATACACAACACCCACCGGCCCTAGTATTGTAATATCTCGGGAAATAAGAGGAATGAAGGCATGTGTATGGCCTTCGTAGCACAATTAACTTTCCTGTATGTAATGCTGACAACTTGGCAATAATTGATTATACTTGAAGTGCTTACCTTCAGTTAATTTGAAGACCAAGTGACTGCTATCCTAGTGCGGACCGCGCCCGTACACTTCGAGTTTTCCTGAATTCCCGAATTCATACCCTCATGTAAGTCATACTAATCTGTCGCGGTCCTATGCGAACCACACACTGTCAACTGGCCACTTTACTAGTCCGTGTGTCCATTTTTGGCGTTTCAGACGCATAGTGGAAGTGCCCCGACGACGTTTGCCATTGTAGCGTTCGTACATAACCAGGCCCGGCTACTGATCAGGCCGACTTCGGGTGCGGCTAAATAACCTGTTATGCACCCCTAAAGGCATTCTAGCATCGTTATGAGAAGTGTCATGCGAGACGCGAGAGTTCGTACGAGAGTCCATCTACGGCGGCTTGTCCGAACCCGACTGACACACGAGCGGACGACCCCTCGAGTTGCCGGCCGCGATAGACACGGCGACTATAGTGGCCTTTCAAAGATGACGAGTTTCGTAAGCCAAAACCACTATGGAGTGACAAGCACCGCGTGGTCCACCATTGCCGGCTGGCGAGAATTCACCCGCTTAGATGGTAACATTTCCAACCTCTGAGAGGGCTTTATATCATAAGCCACATAGGTAAACAACAGAGTAACAGGCGAAGCCTCTTACCCACAGAGTTACCTTTCATACCGAATTTAGTTTGAAGAAATGGCTTACCTATCAGTGGTACGCACTACCCACCTGAACACCAGCGATAAAACAAGTCAGAAACGACAGGCTCTCAAATCCACCCCTCAGTGACTGGCCAACCCGGCACAACACTCTAGCTCATTCCTCATTTTTCTGTACCACTATAATCAAACCTTGCTTAGGTCTTTAAGTTGTCTCATATTCACTCAGGACGCCTATGAACCCTCGCAAGAATTAAAGGCTTACATTAACATCTAAGACGTTGAATTCGAACCAAACCCATGGTGTCAGCAGCAGATTCAAAAAAATGCCTCAAACCCGTTAACAGCGGCGCCATCAAACGAACTTCTACGTAGACGGGAATGGGCCTATGCTCAGATGAGGGAACAAAAAGCACTTCATAACGTGACCACCTGATGATGTCCTAGTTGCAAAAATTATAATAAATAACAGAAGATCGGCGCGCATGAACAGAAGACGCATAAATGGAACACTTTATTCGTCAACTCGGAAACAGATCCACCCTGACGAATAAACTGCTAGTACAAGTTAAAAAAACAGATGACATAGTAGGATACTTCAGGGGAATCCATCAAAGTCCTCTTCAGACAATTCTTTCGCACTCTCGAGCTCTTGCTGTTCTCTCTCCCGACGTTCCTACAGAGAATTTTTAAAATGAATCACTTTAACTGACGAAAGCAGGAGTCATTTATCAGTTGCTAAGTATTTGTCTTTTTACCTCAGCTGACTCCAGGTCCTTGCTGTATTGCTTCGGTGGATAGCGCATCGCCTTGATTGCTTGATTCCGAATGCCCAAACAGAAGCGAATGCGCTGGTGAAATTGGTCCATGGGTTCGCGGGTAGAATAAAGGTCACTGGCCTCTGTCGTTATCATGCATCCTTGGTCGCGGTCCACAACGGCCTCCATCACACCATCGCGAATGGCCTGATGGGGATTTAAAAGAGGAGGAAAGTGGTTTCGTCGACATCATAGGCAACACGTGCCAGCCAACTTCGGGTAGATCATGAAGGCGCATGCTCACTGAACACGGAATGGTTTAAAAGTGCCCAGGCGGACTGTTGACCTACTTTTATTTCGACGACCGAAACGTGCGAAATAGATTTTCTCAACTTCAAAAGTGATATGGGTTCTCACATGGAAGGAAATGGCAGGCATACCTTGGCAACGATGTACTCAGCATCGTCTGCTTCACCGAGTTGCAGCTTGCTCGCGACATCAGCAAGCGATATTTTTGAATAGCTCAAGGAAATTCTTCTGACACCAGTCTTGATTACATTGTGATGAAGACGGACAATGAGCGAGTAGGTTTTGTCACGAGTAAACTGGGTTGCATGCGTTTTTAGAACCTGGCTAAATTGCCCCAAGTCGCCAGAATGGATGGTCTGCGTGAGTTGAAAGTAGGGTTGCAGTGCAGCTTTGAGTTCTGGCTGCCTGAAAGTGCCGCGATCCGGTTGCTCGCCGAGAAGAAGCTCAACCACAGTGTTCAACTTGTGCAGAGCATGCTTGAAGCCTACTGCAGTTTGCCGAGGGGCCTTGCGAAGAGCTGAGACCAGGTGATCATGGGCGGCATTGTAGTCCAGCTGAATGGCTTTTATGAAACCTGTGAGGGGTACGGTGGGCAGAAAGAAAATAGTGTATAAAACGAGTTATGCTGAGAAACCAGTCTGGCAGCCAGGTAATGAAATCAAGTGATCCATAAGTAATGCCCACTTGTCACACTTTACTGTATGTAGGTTCGGGTCAAACAAGGCGTGTGAAAGCACCGTACCGCTCCAATGCACTTTACGCTCCCCGTACGTCAAAGTAGTTGGCATGCACGTACAAGCAGTGAAACGGCTGAGCGGGAAGGTAGCGGGTGGTATTCGACGTCAAATGCCTATGTATCTGGGCAGAGTATCACGATTGGGTTGCTCCGGCTCGGAGTGCTAGTCTCATTAGCAATATCAGGTCGTATCGATGAACGTCAGTCTAGCGTGCCTGTAAACCATACCGACAGTTGTCGGCGGAGCGCGTAGTTCAGCTAGTAGGGCAATTATCAACTACATCAGTTTCAATTTTAGGTGGTTGGCTGACAACAAAGAATTTAGGAATGGCCGCCAGGTCTCATTTGTCCTTGTCCGCAAATCCCTGCACATCAACTAGTTAATAAGGATTTCACATAGATCTACAGATAGGTACTCGGCCAATCAGAGCCTGATCTGGAAACTCGTCTAGTCTATGATTTGGATGATCAAATGCATAAATTGGGACAGGTGTAATTTCATAGAAAATAAGATGGCAGTCATAGAGACACACCTAGGTAGTATAGGTATCGAGCCCATTCGTTATTTGGGGCACTTTCCGGGAATTCGACGCGGCTTATTAGTTTGTTGGCCTGATCATGCAAATTGTAGTGCAGATAGTTTCGCAGTAGAAGGTTGATCAGTACGGCTTGACAATCGTGTTCCTGAAACAACACAAGGAGGAGAATAAGTAAACAAGAAAGGAAGTCCCGTTTACCACATGAATAGGTTTGTGCCGTCTTGAGTCATTTATATGAAGTCAGATATGGGTACGAGTAGAAGTGAGGGAAAGTTTCTTTCTCGAAATTATTTCGCAGTTCATTGCTTGGGTATTTGAAAAGGGCTGTGCGTTAGAGCGAAAAACTGAAGATAAGTGCTTGCGTTTAGACGCAGAGGAATGTGTGCAAGTTTTTTTTTTTTATTGAACTTACAAAGTGTGGTAGCTGTTTAAAATGCATCCTAATACTCCATGGGCTTCAAGAACAAGGGTTAGTTGAAAAGCTATAGGAAAGTGTATCACTGGAGCGCTCGCCTCAAGCAGATATAGGAGATACACAATAATCTCGCAACTAGGATGTTCTGTTGTTGCAAGTTATACGGATTACAAACTCCCCATAAAACGAAAATCTGCATTTTGTGGCGGTCCCATTGAAGGAAGACCGTCTGTTTCTTAGGAGTATTACAAATGACAAAACAAGAATAAACTTTCGGTGGTGGATGCCTTAACGAGTTGAGAAAAATTTAAACACGGAGCCTAGGTAGACTTCATACTTGTCAGTCACAATCCTACTTAAGTAGCACTGTCAAGTTTAGGGCATGTTTAGGAGTTCAGTCACGTTTCGTGGGCATCAGAATGTACTGTACTCCGTTTCCACTAATGACTACTTTTAAAAACAGTGGGTGTTACGGTTTCGTCTTCTTGGCGAAATAGTTGTGGTGCGTAGCGCCTGCTTCTTACGTTTTTTAGGGTTGCCGTTCGCAAACGAGAGTGCAAAAACGGTCTTATCTCCTCAAGCCGCCCGTCAAGTTCAAATGCCCGACCATGGTAGAAAAAGCAGCGACTGGCCAATAGTGCCATGGTGCGGCGATTCACCTCCTGCGTGCGTTCCATCAGGAGCGATGAACATCTGGTCGCCTGAAAGGTGAAATAAAGGCACAGGTCGATGAACAAAAAATTGCCAAAATTGGTCGATTACGTAACAGTTGCGCTTAATTTCCCGAATACAAGATGGGATGAAAAAAACGTGACAGAAAGTTGCTGACTGTCACCCTTGACACCTGACTGAATTTCACCACAAGTCCATAGGGGATTTCTAACCCAGAATGCAGGGAAAACGCATTTCTCCTGCCTAACTCAATCGCAGTCCCTTTGGAAGGCAAGCGTAAGGCGTCTCACGGGGGGGATACCCTACAGAGACATCAATGAAACCGAACAACGTGTCAACCAGTCTTGCATATCAAACAGAACAAGTATCACCAATGGTTCAGGTGTGAAGCTGCCGCTGCTTATAAGATAAGTAACCACGCCGTGGTGGGCCACACAAAATGATACGAGAGCGGCACAGGAGGTACGCAGAGAGGTCGACCTCTTATGAGCTTTTTCTCAGTCAGAAATCACGATGGTCGCACTATATTCAGTCCGCCAGTTTTCAGGAGGCTATGCCTTGCTTACATGCATAGCTATGTACGCCACTACATCTTCCGTATGTTAAGTGCTCATATACCGCGGATTCAGTCCTTCTCGGCCGACATTACATAAATATATAATCCCGGCACTCATTATACCAGAAATTTTCGGTCGTCACGCAACGGGTGTCAGAGATGAATTCGACAACAACACGAAATAGGCATTAGCTCTTCCTAAATGCGACTCCGGTACTTCAAGTGGCAACACGTTTAAACTACATCTTCGGTTAATCAGACCAGACAGAATTAAATCGCAGGTGTTCCCGGCCGTGAGTCTCCACATGGATAGCCGGTGAGGACCAACAGGCTAAAAACGGTCGCCTTAGATCTCCTCATCATTGTTTGTACTGCTGTCCTACAATATATGCACATATGTAGTGCACATTACTAAACAGGCAAGAGAAAATCTTGTAACGGTGACAATGAAAACTATTTATCGCTGAGGGGCGCTCACCGAGCGTTTTTCCGGAACTAACTCGCTCCGTTGTGCCTTAGGGCTCAACGAGCCCCAGGTGTTCCCCACTCCGGGTTGGGTATGACTGACTGACGACGGCCAATGAGCCAGAAATGGCCATTCTACTCATCCTTGTCTTTATCGGCAATTCTGTTCTGACTATCACTTGCCCCAAAGAAACAAAATAAGACTGCCAGAAAAACGGATGCAGCTTTATTTCAGGCGGCGCGGACAATTATGGGCAAGCTCCTAAGAACGTAAAATAATTCCCCTAGGCAACGCCTGACAGTATCACTGTACTTGTACAATACACAGTATTAGGCGCATCGACAGCCCACATAGAAAAATCCCAGATCTAAAAACATTTGACGGAAAGTTAGTTATAAAAATCATCAGAAAAGTGTTTCCATCTTTAAATTGAGAAAAATGCCTTCGTTTTTACCTGCTTCGACTTCCCCTCGTCTATAAGATGGATAAGCAGGAGAAGGTGCAGATATACCTCTACTTCGGGAGGGATGGGGACATTAGACCGGGGAGATTTGACCCTGGGAGCAGGAAGTTTCGTTCCGGTATCCATCGCCTGTAAAACAATGGTCAGAGCCCAATGCCTGAATAAGAACACTCACCTCCGGAAGGAACTCCATAAAGTAAGTCCACTGTGGAGATTGTGGCTGGAAGTAGGCCTGGGCAAGGCTACGAAGGACGTTATGATTGAGTTTGCGACGAATGGGCACAATGCTGCGCAGAACCCGAGTTATGTAGTGCAACTCCTTCGTGGCAATCGACTTCTCGATATATCTGATCTGGTCGCGTATATCTTCCAGAGTGAGAAGGTCCACGTCCTTTGGCGTGTCACCCTCGACACTGCTCTTCACCTTTTCGGCAGCGAGTTTCTCCAGGTCGTTTATTTGGACTTGCTTTAGTTCTGCCCTCATAGCGCTCGTCTAGAACTAGGAAACAGGACGGAGGCGCACTTAATTAGTTTGGGGTTACTGTTGGAGACCTGTCAATGAAACCTTCCCGGTAGTCTGCGCAAATGTCGCGTTTTTTCAGTAAAGAACACTTCTACCCGAACGGCTAACAACGCTAGCTCTAAGCACACTGCAGAGTCATGCAGTGGGGTAAGGTATACGTAAAGAAACGTCAAACGGTGCATTCGCGGAGGGCAGGAAGATGTTAAACAGGGTTAGGAGACATGCATAAAAGGAGACTGAAGTAAATATGTCTTCGGCTATATTTTTAATCACGGTTCACCAGGAGGAAGAAAGCCAGAATCAAGCCTGGTGTTTTCATGGAGCTACCAAGTACACACTTATAAAAAGGCGAAGCTATTTCTGGTATACCGAACAGATCGAGATACTCAAACAAGTCGTCATTAGTAATATACAAACTGGGGAGATTTCAGCAAGTCTGGTGCATATCCTTTCCCTCCTCCATCCCCGACATGGTTGTGGCACGGTACCGGACCTTTTGAGTGAGATAATAGGAATTCGAGTAAAAAATTTCTTCCGTTCGTCACCAGGCGCTTGCTGAACAGCAGTTCGTGTGGTTTTCTGAGGATTCTGAGTGTGGACGGGTCCCAAACAGTCGCCCGAATTATTTGGTCGGTAGCTTCGGTTCGACAGAATCTAATTCCAAAACGGTGATATTCTGTTTTGTAGCTAACCAGCATAGTCACTTCACTGGCTACGTTCTCCGGGTCAATGGTCAATTTTATTCCTAAGACACCGGTTGACTGGCCTCAGAGCCGCCGACCATCTCGCTCATTTGGCTTCGACTTAAAATAGCAGAATGGTCTGTTTTGAGTGAATCGGGTCGCCAAGGAATGATGACGTACAATTGTACAGGCTGGTCGAGCTGATTTGAGTCGCCCTCCCACTACATTAGCAGTGATCCATGGCGAAATCCGGCGGCTGTCTGAGATACCTTGGCAACCCTACTCAGGGACGCTTTATTTATCCTTCGCAGCGCAGGGTGACGTCGTTATGATACCGAAGGCAAAGTGAACAGAAGGGACGATACACAAACATCTTTAAGACGCGACTCAAATGCCCTGAAGTCAGCCAACGGTCTTGAGAAACTCGCGTAGGAACAGCCCGTATGGCCATCTGCCGTAAAATCGAGTTACCAGTTTCGATGATAAAAGCGAATATCGGGGGAGGGGGCAAGGCAGGTCGACAATCCCGAAAGAATTGGGTGTCTCGGACCAACACCGCTAAAGCCCAACCTTTTTCGATGCATCCCGGTGCCAACTTGCGTTAGCAGCTCCCTGACTATTTTCGCATCCACCACAATGTCGGTCTGACTACCATGTCTCAACATTATAAGACTTGAGCAACGGATCCCATGTGAAAATGAGCAAATTAGATTATCTTGCCCATTCATGTGGTGTCTGAGGTTCCAAGATGGGATGTGATGGATGGGGCGTACGATGTAGCACCTGAGAAATCCGGGTCCAGACACGCTGCTCCTCACACCAGTTACATCGCTGCATTATCTACCGACAGTCCGACCGTCGTGAACGACGATGCCCCCGTGTCCTCTACAGTAGGGACGACGACTTACGCAGCATCTACCGCACCCTCCCCCCCACCTGGGTCCGGTGTCAAGACAAAGTCAAGAAGACTGAAGGTAAGGGAGGGCACAGGTGGCCGGCACGGTGAAAACCAGTACTCAGGCGTGCTACGACATCCCTTGATCCGCAACGTACACTGACTAGGATTTTACACAAAGAAAGGTGGGGAACACGGATCCTGATTGGCGCGGTTTAAGCCTGCAACTAGGCCCGCCGACACCCCCAGTATTGGCATTTGTTATGGAAGCACATCCCCGAGAACGCTTGCCAAACCCCGATCCGGCGCCCATGTTGGTCTATGTACATCTGCGTGTGATCCGTTTTAGGAACGCGAGGTGTCTATCACAATCTTACTGATAAAAATGCTCAACCAGCTAGGCGTCCAGATAAACGACAGTCATGGACATTTACGGCTGCCTGTCGAACAATAGTAATCACTGGCATGATTGGACACCTACAAATCCACCACACTACAGTCGAGAACTACCGCCGGAAATCCCTATCAACACCGGTCAGACCCACCTAACCTGCTCCAGACTGTCCCGCGCATTCCGATATCCCATGGACTTACTTGATCACACACGCACACACAAAAACAATTGCAAAAACACCATAGAGCCCAAACAACCAGCATGTGATAGTTAACCCACGTGGGAAATTATGAGTGATCGTAGGTCGGCAAGTTTGTGGCATGAGCTATGCAGAGACTTCACGTTGCATCGGTCACCTCGTCCAAGCGTGGAACTGGCATAGAAGAGCGGGATGAAAGTGAAGCCATAACAACTCGGATCCAGCGCACAATTTCCTCACTAAAAATAAGCGTAGCTTTAAACTACTACGACGCACTAAGAGATGTGACTTAGGAGACCTCAGACTGACGAGGAAATTTGGCCTACGCACGAGTGAGAGTCAAATGAAAATGGTTCCTTCTTAAAGTGACCCTTATGCTGCTCTCAAGTATCTAAAATTCGTGACACTCGTCCGTGGCTCGTGTGTATGAAGTTAGAAAACAGGTCGTCCGAAGTAGGATGCAATCGCTGGGATTTCGTTTTCGAGGCATTACGTTATTTTCGAAACACCTGTGAAGAAACCGAATTTGTCATAGGTAGACGACTCAAAAAGGGCAAATGTTTCCCAGCGTCGAGCCGGTCGGAGCATGCCATGCCTAAAAATATCGCTAATAAAGGTGCATCTCTGGAGCTGTCTCCTGGAATTCGCCACTTCGTTTCTATCGGCAAAACGGGTCGTGTCTATCGCACGGGGATGAGTTGATTAGTTTTGTTGAACACCGTACTCGCGCCCGTCTTTATGTTTCATGACTAAGTTCTATTATTGGAACATGGGAGAGCAGGGAGAAAATGTGGAGGAGAGGCAACCCAAGTCCGCACCGCTATAAATGAAATTGCACCAAATAAAATCAACCCTCAACTGTAAACTGTTAGCCACTAAATACTTGCGCTGGACCATACATTGTTAAAATGCGTTAGATCTACAGGTACAGAGGGACCCCCGGAAAAGATAGGAATAACACATACACTACACCGGAAAGATAGTCAGACGTTTCATTACTGCCTGTGCTCTTCAGGTTGTAAGTGAGAGTTGTGAGACGAAGTCGCAGCGGACACGGTTTTACGCTAACACTGCGTGCGGTGTAAGTTATCCCAAAGGGAAAAACGAGCTATTAGGGCCAGGAAAGGCCTTCCGGGTCAATACCTGGCATCGTATTCCCTTTTACGAAGGATATCAATGCCAGGGGGTCTGGCGCAACAGAATTTGGTGCGGTTGCAAATGAAGCGAGTCTGTAATATACCAATCAACCAACGACACATTGTGCATTACCGATATATTCCGCCAACGCATATGGCCTATGCAACAGATGCTGCAAAAGTGAACTAACGTTCTGTCACACTTTCGTTTGTTGAGGACAAAATTTCTACCCTTATAACAACAGTGCAGCGAAAGCAAAGTCAAGAGCACCATGAATATATTAATTATGACGTTGATGGAATGAACGGGAGAAACCGCAACCAGACGTGATGCGCATCGGGAAAGTGGCTTGAGTGAGATCTAGAATCCCCGGTATCGTTATGAGAAGTAGTCTTTGGTGGGACACGGATATGTTTCGAGTTAACAATTGTTCCGAGCCACTAACGGAAGTTAACATGCCACCGAGATTTATCGGTCGTGTAGGATTTAAAGTCCTTCCAAGTCGGTATATACGGACTAGTCACTCAGTCCGAGAGATTGCTAAAATTAACGTAAGACGACCTATCGAAAAATTGAACAGATCATCACCAAAAACAATCGTTTTTAGAAACTCGAAAGGGGCTAAAAGGTATAACCAGTATGGACAACCGCTCTATCTGAAAGTCACGAAAATTCTAAAGACATAAGGTCCAGAATGGCATAGATACAAAATCGCACATAATCACCACTAACCTCAGAAGATGCTGTATCACGAAGGGGTTAGCCCCACCGCCCTAGGAACAGTGCATTTAAACTGACTCATGAAACAATAACAACCAGGGCAACTTTCCACATGGAAACCCAAGCGTGTGACCAGGAAGGAGTCCGCATATACAGACAGTGATATTGCGTCAACTTTGTAAACGCCATCCTGAAGCCCAGTAGTGAGCACACGCGTGCCCCCACGGAGCAGAGGCCAGCTGATAATTATACTCGCCAAACTCGGTATACGAACAGTCCATTCAATGAAGGATTTGGTCTTAGTGATAAATTAAAATGTTAGTTTAGTGCAACACCCAAGACTTTCACAATACATCAAATTCGAGTAGGATCTATCGGTTACGCTGGTACGAAATTCTCTCATTGGAATTCGGTTCGAACATCACTGAACTATTCCATGTGCCGATAGATGGGGGAGATTATGGTCTGTCGATAGTTATTTGATGCATCGGGCATTAATTTTTCATGGTAGACATTAAGGTACGAGTGTTATTTATAGGCGGGAGTTGTAGTTCACCGGAGACCCGTACATTCCTCAATATATTGATGTGAAAATCCCCGATATATTCCGGATTCCTAAGCCGAAACTTGACACAAGTGGGCCGTTGCGGGCATTATCAGCGAAGCCGCCCGCTGGATCCGTGACCACTTAAACCGTCGAAAGGGCGATGAAATGCAAGAACAGACACCGAAAACGTTAAACGTAATTAAGAACCACCTAGCAAGTATGAGAAGGGCGTTGTTACCGAAGCGAAGCAGAGAGTGTAAAAGTCAGAATGAAAAACTGCGTTGAATGGCTGGCCTTAGGAGACCATTCGTGCTTCGATATTACATATGGCAAGTCGCAAATAAATGACGAATAATAATTAGGTTTTTGCAAATTGTATTAGACCC